CCTGCCATGCGAGGGCACAGGCAGAGAACACAGCCGTCCATAGACCAGGAAGAGTGCCCTCACCAGACACGAATCTGCCAGAGCCTTGATCTTAAACTTCCCAGCTTCCAGAACTGTGAGAAATAAATGTCTGTTGTTTACACACCATCCGATCTGTTATTTTGTTATAGCAGCCCAAACAGACTAAGACATCAGGCTGAGATTCCAATCATAACCCACAGTGTGACCTCCTTTGCCAACTTGCTTGTCTGTCAAAGGGGCATACCAACCTTCCTGGACTGCCCTTAGGATAAAATGAAAACACAGATCCGAAGTGCTTTGCAAATTCAAAAGTGTTATATAAAACTAACAGGTTTCTGTTATTTGTTTGTTTCTATATAAACTTTGATCTCCTTTTGGCTTATCCAAAATCAGTTTGCCCAGCCAAGATCCTGCAGCCAGAACCTAGCTCCGTTGTTTGCTCATGTATTTATGTATTTATCTTTTTTTGCTATCGGCTTCTCACTTTTTGCTATCGTATCTTCTTCCAGACAAGTCATGACTTAGGGCTCTTGCTGCTTCCAATTACCTAGAAAAACATCCTTCTGTGTTCTGGCTAGCATGATGGCTGGACCATTGATCTGTCAGCTAGATTAGTGATCTGCCCTCGAGAGGGAAACCTGAAAGTTCTCGTCCGTTCCTGGTGTGCACATCGCTCACTTACTAAATGCAGTGTGGCACCGTGCTCAGACATCCTGGGTGTGAAGGGCCCTAAGGCTCCCCAGACAGTGAACTTGCCATCCCTGAGTCACAGGTCCCAATTCCCACACATCCTCCGGAAGACCAGCCCCATACATGTCAAATGCTCTGAGTTGTCTCCATGGCTTCTGTCCTGAATCCTGCATGGTAACAATTTCTTGCCTACTATTTGCTCCTACTGTAAGCTGGGGCTCTGCAAATCCTAAGCGCTCAACACTCATCTTCCTCCTTATGATCCTGCATGGAATCTACAGTATATATGGAATTCAGATGGTAGAAAAAGGCATGGGTGGGAGGGTAGGGAGGGTAAGAGGAAGGAGAAAAGGGGATGAGGTTGGAAAGGTTGCTGGTGCTCTATATTGATACTTTAGCCAAAACCCAAAACAGAGAGTCCCTCCCCAGTACCTATAAACAACCCTCTGCTAAGAATTTACTTGAATTTTCACCAAGATGGCAACTTGCTCTTCTTTTCACGGGGTTCCTGAACATGGTGTAAGTTGGCTGAGTAGGAAGTTGAGGGGCATCTCCTCTTTTCCAGTCAGCCTCAAGAGGAAAAGCAGATGAGAGGGCACTGCCCCCTCCCCATTTATAAGGCAGCTGCCACCAAAGCAAAATATACTCCCTCTCCTCCCCTCTAAACTAAACAGTAGTTTGTCAAACGGATGAATAAGAAGAAAAGTGGCAATTTTCCTTTATGCTAATAAATTGCTTTGGCCTAAAAAACATTAATCAATTTCTTTCCAAAGTGCACACACTTCTCTATACTCTGCTATTTGCCTGGCCTTGAAAAGAAAGTCACTTTCAATCCCCTTTAAATTGTCAAGACCAGTGGGGGCAGTCACAAGACGGGAGTGGGGAGCTCCCTAAATCCCAGTGATTATAATGGAAACCTGCTGTGTTTCCATAGAAACACAAAGAGGGCATTCTTCCCTGGATGTGGATGGAGGGGGGGTGCCCAGCGTGGCGAGGTGCAGGGCTGCTCAAGAGCAGAAGGTGGGTGCCATGGAGGGAGTGAGGCGTTTGGCCCCTGAGACGGGAAGACCTAGTGACAGTGACGAGAGTGGAGTGGGCAGAGACCGTGCGCTACGTGAGGGGAATTCACCTGTTACTGCGGCTGGCAAGGTACAAGGAAGCTGGTATAACTCCCACGCTCAACTGAGTAGTGGAGACAGGAAGAACGTGCCCAGGGTCACCCAGCCAGGAAACAGGACAGCCCCAATTCCAGCCAGGGAGTGTTCAACGCAGAAGGCCTGCCAGTTCTATACACATTCTGGAAGCGCTCACAGCATTATTTTTTTTTAATAGGTATTAGGATGCTTGTAAATCTTAACAAACCCAGGTAGTCTGTTGTCATTGTTGTTTGTCTGAATTATAAAGTCAGAGAAAGTTCACATAGATAGAGACGAAGGCAGCTGGTGCATGTGTGTGTTTGTACTATTTGGTAGGAGCATATGGATAAAGAACTGGAAAGTAGGAGCAGTTGAGAGAAATAAGAAGTATATTTTGAAAACAATTATTATTTAATCACCTATCTCAAATGCCGGGAAGTAAGAGCCACAGGACAGTATCCATGTCTGTCTAGCTTGCTGCTGTGTCCCTGGAACCTAGCACAGTGTGAGGCCCAGAGCAGAATGGATGGATTAATGGATGGATGGATGGATGGATGGATGGATGGATGGATGGATGGATGGATGGATGGAATGTTCTGGACCAGCAAGCACTAGGAAATCCTAGACTCCTAGAAATCCTAGAGGGGCTGCCCATTCTATTTGGGTCCATCTGATGTTCTATGGTAAAGATTGTTTTTCTGCCATGGTAGAGAGTGCAGGGCTATTTCCACAGCTAGGAGAACTGTGAATATGGATGTTCCCTACCTGTGAACCATGCGTGTTCCCAGTGCCAGAGGGGTGAGAAGCAGAGCTCCCAACTCACTGTTTTAAATTCCAACCTTGCTGCAATGCAGAGGTTGCCCAGCCTCTGAATCTACCTCCTTAAGCTTCCACTGAGGAGAATGGGGTGCAGGCAGTGCACCCACTCTACCTCCTGTGACAAATAGGGGTGCAGCACCAGGTGATGCATCCAGGAAGTGGGAGACTCAGCATGTGAGTCTGTGGACGCCTCTGCCCGCTGACCTGGCAAATCCTGGGCTTTGGCTGGAAGGTCTATTCTAGTAGCTATTGATGTTGGCTGGCATTTACTGAGCACACAGAGCCACTGGATCAGCTGTGCCAGGAGGCCAGGGCCAGTGTCTGCCTTTTACTATTCCTTTCCCAGCTGCTACAGCAGGGCCCGGCACATGGAATATATGTTTGTTGAATGACTGGCTGAATACTTGGAGCCTGCTCTGTGCTGCATGTTGTACATGCACATGGCACTTGAACTTCACTGAGATCCTTTGATTAGGTAGGGTACTCATTTCATAGACGAGGCCATGTTGGCATGAAAACGGGAAATGAATTCCCCCAAGATCTCACAGTTGATAAGTTGTGGAGCTTTGCTTTAAAAAACAGCCTGTGTTTCATCCATTATGTAGGTCATCCGGCCAGGATGATGTCCCTATAGAGTGGGCCGGGGTGGAGCAGAAAGAGAAAGGACGTAAGGAGAGGAGAAGAAAACCTGGGTGAAATTTATCAAAAATACAAAAACAAAACAATGAGATGCCCTTCCCCAACGCTACCCAGTAACCGAAGCCCCAGCAGTCTGGCCCTTTGTGCTGTTTGGCCCTGCCTCTTCCAGCTCGGAATTCAGGACAAGGCGGCCTTCGGGGGTTGTCAGTCATGTGTGGCAGTGTGATGGGCCTTTTCAGCAGCACTCACTCTGATCCTGGCTCTGGGAGGCGACATGGGGATAGTACACAAGGACAGGTGTCCCTTTAATGACAGCTGATCTTCAGCCCTTGCTGGGTACAAAGGCTCTAGCCAGTCAGGCCACATCACAAACCGACAAGGGGTCTTTCATCTTCCACGTACAGCATTTCGTTTCCCCCCCAGCTAAACAACATGCACTGTTTTCACGATGACACTTCCCACACGCCCACGCTGGCTCCTCATCCTCGAGCCTTCTGGGAGCCCTGGTATGAAAGCAGGTAATAGACACATCTAAAGCTTCGGAGCCTTCTTACAAGTGTCCTGCCATGCACTGAAAACTGCTCCACCAGTGACTCTTCCATTTGGAGGGAAGTGTGCAGTTAGGGACAGAGGGCGAGGGGCTCACCCTTTCTGGCCTGGCTCTCTGGGCTCCAGGGAGACTAGGACAGAGTGACAAGGCAGGCTGAGTGGCCCTGAGGCCTCCCAGGCATATAGAGGTCAGGGCAGCGTCAACGCCCCCTGCTCACAGGCCAGAGCCCCTGCTGACTCCCAACTCGGTCAATCTCTAGAACCCTGGTCCCCGACAGCCTCCTCATGTACCGCGCAGACCTCTGTGATAACAAGCACAACACGGTGGTGTCTGTATGTTAGTGACGTCAACACACACAGGGAAGATAGCAAAAAAAAAAAAAAAATGGAGTTAAGAAACGTCCATCAATAGAGGAGTATTTAAATACATCTGTATTGAGGAATACTATCAGGCAGTCTCATATGTAAAGTTCTCCAAGATACACTGTTAAGTAGAGAAGCAATTTAAAGAGCAAGGCATCATATATCAGCAGTAATGATGCTAACGACGATAATAATGAGAGCAACAGAAGCTAACACATATGTCAGGCTTAGTGTCCGCCAGGCACCACTCTGAGCACTTCATTTATATTTTCTCACTTTACACATGTTACTTCCAAAGAAAGCCTTTGAGACAGGTGCTAGCCTTTGAGACATTGCCTCCATTTTACAGATGAGGAAACTGAGCTGGCAGTTTTTTTGTATGTTCCTCTGTATTATTTAAATCTTTTGTAATGAGACAGTTTTCATGCATAACATGGGCAAAAAAATTAAAAACCATGAACAATTAGGAGCATTAAATAAATGTAGGAGAGAGACGATATTGACTGAATACCTACCACCAGGCTGCCATGTTACATGTCTCATTTATACTTAATAACTTGCCTGTGAGGAAGGCATTACAGGCGCCAATTCAATCAACGAAGAACTGGAAGTTCAGAGAGGTTGCGTAACTTTCCCAAGGTCACACAGCCAGTAAGTACCTAAGGATCTGGGATTCAAATCCCAAAGTGCATGCCCTTCCATGTCAGCTGGGCATTTGGTGACGCTAAATCAGTCTGTGCTGATTTGAATGTGCTTTCCTTCCTTCTTCTCTATGTTTTTCAGTGTAGAGTATGATTTTCGGCAGCAGGAAGGCCGCTTCCATGAAGTTCTGCAGAGTCTGGAGGAAGCCGAGCCAGCTGAAGAGGCATCTCCCCCACCAAAGTCCCCAGCAGAACCCCCAGTCCCAGAAAAGCAGGACTTAAGGCGGAAAACCAAGAAAGTGAAGAAGAAATGTTTTTGGTGGATCTGAGTTCACTGGGACCATCCCCTCCACCCTCCCCTTGTACCTCCCTGAGATGGGGAAGCCACTGCCCTCGTGGCCTTTCCTGCTTCTCTGCAAAGGCCCCAGGCTGTGAGCCCCTTGTCCTGTGAAGCGGGAGAGCCTTGGAGCTGGTTTAGCCACCGCCGGACACCTGATCGCCATCCTCACCTGAGTGCGTGCCACTGCTTGCTGAGGACTTCATGGACACTAGAGTGACCACTTGCCAAGTTCTCTGTCCCACAAGGCCAGGCCTCAGCCTGGTTTGCAAGTCCAGATTCCCACCATGAGCAAACCCCCACGACACCTTCCAACACCTCCATGGTCTAACCACTTCCTTCCCATCCTAGGTTCATCAACCCAAAAGAAAAAAAAAAAGTGTTGTGCAGAGCTAGAAGACAGAGAAAGGTTATAAGCAGATATCCCAGAAAAAAAAATTAGATTAATAAACTGGAAGTTTCTAAGATATCAGTGTACATGAGCACAACAGAGTAGGCAGGGCAGAAGAATGCAAGAGCACCCTGGTATATTGGGGTCACTTTCATTTTTAATTAGCCCCTTGATTCCAAATCAAGGATCTGTCATCGCATGCTGTGCAGGCCTCACTGTGTGTGGCAGAGTAAGGTCACTCCAGGGCATGAGGAACATAGTGTGGATGGTCTGAGCAACTGTAATTCCAAGAGGGTTTCAGCAGTTGTAGCTATGCCAGGGCCCACCCGGAACCATCATGCCTCTGGCCTGGGGCCTGAGACCACCTGGCGAATCAGTGGAATCTGGTTTGAAGGTTTGAACTTTTAAGATTCCACAGCAAGATTTAAGATCATGAGATCCAGCCGCCTGTCTGTCAGTTACATCTTAGTCAGTAACCTAAATAAGCCTAAGATAAAACACAATACTCGTTCCCGTCCATTCACACCTGCAGCAGCCTTGTAGATAGGCGCAAACTTATATTAATCAACCATCTCCCTTCCTGGGGACCAGGCAATGGTCACCTGACTGAAGAAGCAGCACGAGTGGGGATGAGGATATAGGGTTCACCCCCCCCCCCATTTTAGCATTAAAGACCTTTTTTTCCCAAAGTCTGAGTTCTTTAAGGTCTGGCTCATTCTTTGACAAGACCCCCATACTTGTGGGTCCAGTGAAACTTGCATGGCTGAACAAACTACTAAAGTAATATAATTAAGTAATCGCTACATACTCTTGGGGATGAGGGGTAAGATGGCAAGGCTCAGATTCCTTCCGGTTAAATTAAATTCTCTACCAGCCTGTGGTTGGATTGATGCTGCTAGAAAGGGATCCTGAAGCTAAATATACATTAACGAAGGAGACATTTAGTCATCCCCTTTGCGGAAGACCTGGTGTCTGAGCGCAGCACCCCGTGTGAACCGGGGATGAACGCCCCCCACTGCAAATTGAGACTAATTGAGCAAACCACTCTGACAGTTTCACCTTCCTTGTCACAGCGCTGCAGTGCACAGAGCTATTTCCGTGAGAGCAAGAGGGAAATTTGGCAAGGAATTTCGGCTTGCACTATTTAAGTCCTGGAATGTCATTCAAGATGTTCTTGTTCTGTTTCTAGAGTAATGTTTAAACCCACAAAATGAGACCGGAATATATAATGTCAAGTTAGAATTAAGATAAATACACTTGTCATACTTAGGAATCCACATTTCAATAAGATATGCTACCACTGGCTAAAAGCCACAGCTCTTTCTTTCTGTATCCATAGGATCAATTCTCAGTTGGCCCAAGCAATGGAAAAGAACAGCATAAAGGATAATCCAATAAAGCAAAATCCTTTGGGATCTCTTATGTAATTTTATCTTGTAATAGAGCTTCCATCCTCATTTGCTTTGCTTACACTAATTTCAAATGAATTTATATTTTTGAGCACCGTGTAGAATAAAAATAATCCTGTTCCTAGAATTAAGAGACCCAGGAAACCAAGCAGTCTATTCTACTACCCTTTGGCAAATGGCTTAAATCTTCAGGGCCTGTTTATCCATTCTTGACTGGAGACAAGAACACCTGCTCTACCTTCCTACTCTGTAAACTCTGTGCACGTTCCAACATCCCGTGAGCTGGATCACTGGGCAAAGTTAGCCTGGAAGGAGGAGATGTCTGAGGTACCTCACACAAAATTAAGAAGCTCATGTAGTCAGACACAGACACTGAGTTGGGAGCCTCAGATAAACCCTCAACTGAATTAAATAAATCTGAGGTTGGAAAATGTTGGCATTTCTAGAAATAAAACCAACTGAGGCCACAATGATCCTAATCAAAGCACAACACTGCATTGCTTGGGCCATCAACCTGAAACCGGGAAGGCATTCTCTTCAGAAAATGTAACATTTAAGATCATGATGAGGAAAATGGATTGGATAAATATCTTCCTGAAGAACAAAAATGATCATCCCTATGTTTAAAAAAATCACACAGGCATATATACCAAAACTCTATACTCATCTACTCATGTGAAAATCACTGCTTTTTTGTAAAATATTATGTGACATCTACCATGATATTCTACAGAAATGCTGTACTTGAGGTTGTATGGTTTTATGGAGAGATATTAATTTAGCAAAAATTACTTTTATAAAATTGAAAGTAAAAAGACCAATACATTAACTTAAATTGCAGGAGTTCATGTAGCTGCTTTCTCTGTAGTTTAAAAAGAAAATGCGTACTCACTATCCTTGGAACTTAATACCAGCTCATCTATAGAGCATCTTCTTAAAGACAATGTACTAATATAAGGTTTTGTAAATTTCTAAACTGTTTTAAATGGGATATTATCTTTTGCAATAAACTTACATATTTTTTCTAGGTTTTAAGACTCTATTACTAGCTTGGGTTGATTTGGGCTATAAAATTTAAACTTAAGAAGGAAACCTCAGTATTCCTAAGAGCAAGTATGGCTTTCATTATAGTTGTGTTTATGTATTTCTTAGAGAAACAAATAAACACAGCACAGATTCTGAACCGAGTGTCACAGTGATCACACAGAGCCACTCCCAACCTCATCAAGACAACTACACGTTCATGATTCCTATCGCCATGCCCATACACCTGAACTCTGATTTATTTGATGTTTTTCTTTAATTATTTTCCCCTTAATTTTGTCCCTAAAAGGTAACTTTATATCACCAATATGAGAAAAACCAATATCATGTTCCAAAAATAGAAGATGAGATCAAAATAATTTTATTAAATTCTTGCTAAACACTGTTGAATGTTGAGGGCGCTATGCCTGAGACCAGCTGTCTTTGTTAAAAAGGGATATTAGCAAATATTCAATACACACTAAAGCCACATTAACACCAAACCCATTTTCTACTTGACTAATCAGGATGTTTGAGAGAGAATTGAAAAGAAAACAACTTTCCTATCATGTGAGTCCATGTTTTTTTCCCCCTGCCTTGTCTATGGACCATCTAAAACCAGGTTGTTTATACCTGACATGTAAATCTCCCACTTTGGGCCACACCAATTCAGGGAAACAAAAACAAAAACAAAAACAAAACCCTGGACACAGAATCAGAAGTCCTGGGTTTGAAAGCATTCTGCTATCTTCCTTTTGCTGAGTGACCTTGAGCAAATTACTCAATCTCGGAGCCTGATTCTTCTTATAATGCTAAGCATAACCGCTGCATCCCCAAAGTGTCCTGACAATTAACTGAATGAAAGCTCAAATAATGTGGGGCACCCAGCAGGTGCCCAGTAAATGCGTATTCATTCATTTGCAGAGTGAAGTAAATTGGGAGAGAGGATGGAAGAGGGCACCAAGAGGTTGCAGTGGTTTTCAGAAATGGACTTAAGACTTTCTCAGGGCAAGGAAGGAACTCTTCCTGGCCTTATGAGAACCACCAGAAATCATGACAATGAAGAGCACACAGGCAGGTAAAACACAGTACTGCACGTATGAAGGATTCATGTTGCTCGGAATCAAATATCCTAGAGGTGACAGACACTTGAAGGGCCTCGTCCCTTTTATTTTAAGATGGATCAGTCGAGGAAAGCTAGATGATTTGTGGGAGGACTTGCAGCACTGCCGTGGGAAGGAAGTTCTGGGAGCAATGTGGTCGGTGGGCGGGAAGTGCAAGGGCCCAGGGCCAGTCCAGGAACCACTGAGGCTGGACTTGAAACCCACTCTCACCTTCACCAGCAAGCTGGGTTCTCGGTATAACCTTCCCTTGAAAAGGCTCTAATTTTAAGCTGCTAGAGGCAACTTGCTGTATGCTAAAAACACATTTCTTTTTTTAAGTTCCAAGAAACAAAGATGTTTTATGATCACTACGCCCATCAAGCATTGCTGGCAAGAAATAGCGCTGGGGGACAAATGCAAACCCAACACTGTTCACGTGTGGCGCAAAGCGTGTTTGACCGGCTTGATCGGAACCCCCTTTTTGGGTGCTTTCCCCTCAACTTGCTCCCCACCTCTTCCTGACATGCAGCCTACATTTCTATAGATACGTCACAGCACCCCTCCTCCTGAGTTTCACAGTGTCTGATTCTTTCTCCTCCTACAGGTCCCTCGGCCAGTGGGCCACAGGGCTTGGGTCTCCCACTGCTCTGCACGGCGGCACCTGCTCCAAGCCCACGTCGTCTCTCGACCGGCATCCACAGGAACCTCCCAAATGGTCTCCCCACAGTCACTCTCCCCCTCCGGTGCATTTTCCACACCGCAGAGCAACTGTTGCAAAATTTGGATCAGAGCCATGTCGCACTCTGGCTTAAATCCATTTGATGGCTTCCTGATAAACTTAGGAAGTAAGATACCAGGTGTGTTGTCATGGCCCAGAGGCCCTGTGCGACCTGTCCCTGCCCCTCCTGTTAGCTCCCACCATGGGGCCTTTCATTGTCTGCCCTCTAGTCACGCAGGGCTTCCTGGGGGTCCTTAGACCCCCCCCCATGCTAGCAGCCCCTAAAGGGTCCACATATGCTGTTCCTTCTGCCAGAAATACTCCCCACCACACCACGCTCCTAGCCCACTTTGAAGCTCTGTTGGGTAATACAGCAGGTAATGCCTCCCATGGCTATAATGCCCAGACTGCACCCCATACCTCTCTTGGACACTCACCTGGCACCAGAGACTTTGTCATCAAAGTCTTTGGCACAGTAGTTCTTGTACATAAACCAGTGTCATTCTTTGATGAATGTATTTCCCTCTAACTCGCCAATAATTTTCCTAAAGTAGGAATCCTCCTTATTTTTGTTTGCCTTTGTATCTCTAGCACTTACCACAATGGGATTTAAATATTTGTTGCAGGAATAAATTATTGAACAAATTGGATCCAGTAGGAAGACACCAAAAAAAATGATTCCCTGGTTTTTTTCTTGTCCTTCAGTCGCCATATGGAGATGGTACCATTAGTGGTATAGCGTCTACATCTGTGCTCCCAGGATTAGCGTCTTGGGCAGGTACTGTGCCCAAGGCTCTTAATTCTACTGTGGCCCACACGGCATTCAGGACCCAGGACAAAAAGACACTGATGTCCACTTCCAGTACCCAGCCCCACCCCCACCAGGACATTTATCCTGAATATTGACAGCCCAGCTTAACCTTGTTTCAGAATAAATTGCCATCATAATTAAATCCCAATGCATTTTGCACATTTTACCAAGATACTGCCTTACCATATGAAAGAGAAAATGAGTTTTGAAATTAAAGCAGATTGTTAACTATTTTCACAGTAATGTTTCTATTAAAATGCCAGAATTTATTACTTGCGACCTAGTCCATTCCAGATAAAATGCAATTCAAAAGAGACAGGGTCTATCTAACTAAAGGAGCATTTTTGGACAACGCATTTT